CTTCCTCGCTCAGACGGGACCTCCCTGGAGGGGTGGGAGGGGCACGAAACTATGTAAATAGTATGGGTTTCCGATGCCCTCCTCGCCCAGGCGGGGCCTCCCGGGAGGAGAGGGACGGGCACGAAACCATGTAAATGGTATGGGTTTCCGATCTCTTCCTCGCTGGGGCGGGGCCTCCCTGGAAAGGTGGGGAGGGCACGAAACCATGTAAATAGCATGGGTGTCCGATACCCTCCTCGCTCAGGCGGGGCCTTCCTGGAGGGGTGGGATGGGCACGAACCCACTTCAATAGTATAGGTTTCCGACACCCTCCTCGTTCAGACGGGGCCTCCCTGGAGGGACGGGAAGGGCACGAAACCATGTAAATAGTATCGGTGTCCGAGACCCTCCTCGCTCAGGCGGGGCCTCCCTGGAGAGGTGGGAAGGGCACGAAACCATGTAAATAGTATAGGTTTCCGATACCCTCCTCACTCAGGCGGGGCCTCCCTGGGGGGGTGGGAGGGGCACGAAACCATGTAAAAAGTATGGGTTTCCGATACCCTCCTCGCTCAGGCGGGGCCTTCCTGGAGGGGTGGGAAGGGCACGAAACCATGTAAATAGCATGGGTGTCCGATACCCTCCTCGTTCAGACGGGGCCTCCCTGGAGGGGCGGGAAGGGCACGAAACCATGTAAATAGCTTAGTTTTCCGAGACCCTCCTCGCTCAGGCGGGGCCTCCCTGGAGGGGTGGGAAGGGTACGAAACCATGTAAATAGTATGGCGTTCCGATACCCTCCTCGCTCAGACGGGGCCTCCCTGGAGGGGCGGGAGGGGCACGAAACCATGTAAATAGCATGGGTTTCCGATACCCTCCTCGCTCAAGCGGGGCCTCCCTGGAGGGGTGGGAGGCGCGCGAAACCATTGAATAGTATGGGTTTCCGATACCCTCCTCGCTCAGACGGGGCCTCCCTGGAGAGACGGGAAGGGCACGAAACCATGTAAATAGTATGGGTTTCTGAAACCCTCGTCGCTCAGGCGGGGCCTCCCTGGAGGGGTGGGAGGGGCACGAAACCATGTAAAATAGTATGGGTTTCCGATACCCTCCTCGCTCAGACGGGGCCTCCCTGGAGGGGTGGGAGGGACACGAAACCATGTAAATAACAGCGCTTTCAGATACCCTCCTCGCTCAGGCGGGGCCTTCCTGGAGGGGTGGGAGGGGCACGAAACCATGTAAATAGTATGGGTTTCCGGTACCCGCCTCGCTCAGACGGGACCTCCCTGGAGAGGTGGGAAAGGCACGAAACCATGTAAATAGTATGGGTTTCTGATGCCCTCGTCGCTCAGGCGGGGCCTCCCTGGAGGGGTGGAAGGGGCACGAAACCATGTAAAATAGTATGGGTTTCCGATACCCTCCTCGCTCAGGCGGGGCCTCTCTGGAGGGGTGGGAGGAGCACGAAACCATGTAAATAGTATGGGTTTCCAATACCCTCCTCGCCCAGGCGGGGCCTCCCTGGAGGGGAGGGAGGGGCACGAAGCCATGTAAATAGTACGGGTTTCCGGTACCCTCCTCGCTCAGGCGGGGCCTCCCCGGAGGGGCGGGAGGGACACGAAACCTAGGAAATAGTGTGGTACTCCGATACCCTGCTCGTTCTTGCGGGTACGGTATGGTAAGGTATGTATGGTATGGCATGGTATGGGTAGTTTGGTATGGTATTGCATGGTATGTGTGGTATGGTATTGTATCGTATGGTAGGTATGCTATTGCATGGTAGGTATGGTATGGTTTTGTATGGTAGGTATGGTATGGTATGGTGTGGTATGTTATGGTATGGTATGGCACGTATGCTATATAGTATGGTTGGTATGGTATGGTGTTGTTCGGTATTGTGTGGTATGTATGGTATGGTATGGTGTGGTATGGCATGGTAGGTATGGTATGGTATTGTTTGGTAGTGTGTGCTATGTATGGTATGGTATGGTATGATATGGTATGGCATGGTAGGTATGGTATGGTATGGAATGGTAGGCATGGTATGATATGGGAGGCTGGAGTGGTAGGCATGGTATTGATATGGGAGGCGGGAGGCAGGAGGGAGAAGGAGAGGACGTCCTGGGAAAACAAGAACCCCACTCAGGATGTGGGGAATAATTATGCTAACGGAATTCCCCACATAAAGATATTAACGGTTTCGTGGGACCCATGGGGTACGACAACATCAACACGAAGGAGAAGCTCATCGAACGAGTAAGTGCGCACGAAAGGGCAGACGAAAGAAAGGAGGAGGGAGGACAGGTGCTCAGGAAACGAAGCCTTGTAGATAGCACGGTTTCTTGATACCCTCCTCGCTCTGGCGGGGCCCCGCTGGAAGGGGGGAGGGCTATGAAACCTCGTAAAGAACAATGCTTTCCGCGACCCTCCTCGTTCAAGCGCGGCCTCTCTGGAGGAGTGGAGGGGGGACACGAAACCGTGTAAACTGCATTGTTTCCGATACCCTCCTGGAGGAGAAGGAGGAGGAGGAAGAGGATAGGATGGATGATGGTGAAGAGCAGCAGCAGTATCATCGTCATCAGCATCAGCATCAGCATCAGTATCAGTATCAGTTATCAGTTATCAGTATCAGTATCATCATCAGCATCAGCAGCAGCAGCAGCATCATCATCATCATCATCATCATCATCATCATCATCATCATCATTGTCAACATCATCGGCATCATCATCACCATCATCATCACCATCAACATCATCATCATCGTCGTCGCCATCATCGTCATCATCATCATCATCGTCATCATCATCAATCATCACCAGCACCGTCCTTGGCATCATCATTGTCCGCATCATCGTGGACGTCACCATCATCAGCGTCATCGTCGTCATCATCATCAAGAGCACCAGCAACGTCAGCATCAGCAGCAGCATCGTCATCATCGCCAGCATCTGCATCATCATCCTCGTCGTCATCGTTGCCATCATCGTCATCGTCATCATCATCGTCATCATCATCATCAGCATCATCATCATCATAATCGCCGTTATCGCCATCGTCATCGCCCATCACCATTATCGCCATCGTCATCGTCATCGTGAACAGCAGCATAACCATCGTCATCACCATCATCATGATGAAGCCTTCCTCATCGCAGAACTCCCCCTCCTCCTCACCCTCCTCAATGGGAGGAGTAGGACGTGAGATGGATAGGTAATGTTCTCCCCTCCTCCTCACCCATGTCAGTGGGAGGGGCACGAAACCATTTAAATAGTGTGGGTGTCCGATACCCTCCTCGCTCAGACGGGGCCTCCCTGGAGGGGTGGAAGGGGCACGAAACCATGTAAATAGCATGGGTTTCCGATACCCTCCTCGCTCAGGCGGGGCCTGCCTGGAAGGGTGTGCGGGGGGACGAAACCATGTAAATAGTACGGGTTTCCGATACCCTCCTCGCTCAGGCGGGGCCTCCCTGGAGAGGTGGGACGGGCACGAAACCATGTAAACAGTATTGGTTTCCGATACCCTCCTCGCTCAGGCGGGGCCTCCCTGGAGGGGTGGAAGGGGCACGAAGCCATGTAAATAGCATGGGTTTCCGATACCCTCCTCGCTCAGACGGGGCCTCCCTGGAGGGGTGGGAGGGGCACGAAACAATGTAAATAGCATGGGTTTCCGATACCCTCCTCGCTCAGGCGGAGCCACCCGGGAGGGGAGGGACGGGCACGAAACCATGTAAACAGTATGGGTTTCCGATACCCTCCTCGCTCAGGCGGGGCCTCCCTGGAGGGGTGGGAGGGGCACGAAACCATGTAAATAGTATCGGTTTCCGAGGCCCTCCTCGCTCAGGCGGGGCCTCCCTGGAGAGGTGGGAAGGGCATGAAACCATGTAATTAGTATCGGTTTCCGATACCCTCCTCGCTCAGACGGGGCCTCCCTGGAGGGGCGGGAGGGGCACGAAACAATGTAAATAGCATGGGTGTCCGATACCCTCCTCGCTCAGGCGGGGCCTCTCTGGAGGGGTGGGAGGAGCACGGGAGGCGGGAGGGAGAAGGAGAGGATGTTCAGGGAAAACAAGAACCTCTCTCAGGATGTGGGGAATAATAATGTTGACAAGAGTAATAATACTAATACGAATACAAATCATAATAATAATAATGATAATAATGATGATGATAATAATAATAATAACACTAATACTAATGATAATAGTAATGATCATAATAATCACCATAATAATACTATTAAAAATAATAAACATAATGATAATAATAATAATAATGATAATAATAACACTAATAATACTAATAATAATAACACTACTAATACTAATAACAATAATGATGATAATAATAATAGTGTAGCAAACGATGGCAAAATGGGGTTAGAGCGACAGGATATTCTCCCTATCCCTCCCACCCATGTGCGTGCCGCTCTTTGTCAGGGCTGTCAGAGGCATAAGTGCCAGTCAAGAAGGGTCGGGACTGGATTTCGGCATTCGATTGAGAGGTCCCGACCATCAGCGCTTGGATCGGTCAGGCACCACGAGTGCTGGTGCTGTTGTGGCCCTCTTTGAAGGGCGGATGGCCGTGTAAATACCTTTTCGGAGGGTGCCCCCTCCTCTCGAGCCTGCTCGCAGCATCGTCCTTGATTTCAGCAGTACGTCGGATATTCACGTTTTGTAGTCTTAGGGTTGTCGCTCTATCCCCGGCTGCCCGCAAAAGCTTAAGGCACAAAAGCTTTACTCTCAGGCACGCTCCGAGTTAATGTATACTCACGTCTGGCTCTCAGTGTTAGGGGCTTTTGCAAATGTGTGTAAAAAAACGTACGCGGAGGGGGGCCGAACATCTTCCAGACGTCATCAGGGGAGAGAGGAGAATAGAATTCATATTGCGTGTTGTTGAATTTGAAGGGCCCGCCGATGAACCATGCCCGGCTGCACCCAAGGTGCACGCGGCGCAAGCGAGGACTGCACGCAAGAGCTGCCCATCTGACTCCTCCGATTCCGCCCGCCCCCTCCCGCGTCCGGCAGGAGAGGCCTTGGGCGGAGGCCGCCCGGATGGCGTCGCAGTGGGCGGGGTGGAGGATCGCGAGAGCAAGCAGCAACACTGACGAGCTTGTTCTTTCGCGGCGACGGCGAACGCGCGGCGCGGGAGAGCCGAGGCCGAGCTGCAAAATGGCAAAGTCTACACCACAGAGGGGGGGGGCACGAGGGCGGCGGAAAAGACAGGCATGCAATCAGTTCCGCTGTCCCAGCTGGCGCGTGAGGAGGGATGGAAGCGGACGAGGATGGGGATGAGGAGGGCGAGGAGGAAAGGGAGATGGGCGAGGAGGACGAGGGGGGAGAAAGCGATGAGGGCGGCCACGGAGAGCGAGCTGTGCGCCAGACGGATCGCTCAGATAATGCACGCAGCAGCAACAAACATCAGGAGCAGCAACTTTCGGAGGTCCCGGCGGGTTTCTTGGATCGGGGCTGGGTGCCCCTGGCGGCGCCGCTGGTGCGGACCCGAGAAATCCGCACGGACCTCCGCATGCCTATGACCCTTGTGCTCTTCGCTTCTCGAGTGATAGAGCCGTAGGAGCGCACGCGGAGCAGCCGAGGCATGAAGATTTGGATGGTGGCTGCCTGCTAGCGTCTCCATGTTGAGGTACATCTCGTTGATGCCCTTGCTCCTGCTGGGTGGCCGAAGAGGGCAGAACACTCGAAGACGTATGGGTGCAGCTGGACGCACACGCACACGTAAGAACATAGAGGTTCACCACCGATGTCGCAATCATGCATGTCTGTCGTCAATGCCAACGCCACCTCCGCCATCGTTATCGCCGTGGCCGCGGCCTTCACCGTCGTCGTCGCTGCAAAACTAGTGATCGTCACGTTCGATCTCTCTTTCCGGACACCAACCTGACCACGTCTACCAGATGTTGTGTTTCACCTGGGGTGCTGGGTAGTTGCAGCTGCCAACAAAAGTCAGCACACACCCTTTCCAACCGTCCGAAATTCTACAACCACCCAAAATTCATGCCAGATACAAAACTAAGCCCGACGGACATCACCAAATAGTTACCCTGCAAAACAAAAGCCGAAGCGGCTGCGGCGATTACAAACGCGTAAGCGCGTCCAATGGGCGGCGGCCGGGTAGTTTCTGGGCAGTTGCGCAACTATGGAGCCATCACCCCCGATGAGGAACAACCGTTGGTGGACACGATTGAGTCGCGGCGACGACGGCGGCGACGACGACCGCCCCGCGGTGGACCTCGCAGAGCCATTGCAGAGTGCCCACGCTGCGGAGTGCGCTGGCGCCGTAAACAAATGCTTCCCCTTTGTACCCCGTAGCCTACACATGGTGGCGGCGAAACTGATTACGTACAACACCTCATGTGCAGAACATGCCCCCGCTGCGACGCGCGCCGGTGCCGCTGCGCAAAACGTCGTCGTGTTATGTTGCATAGCGGGCAAGCCTCGTCAGACACGTCAAATCTCACTTAGATTTCGCGGGGCTGAATCTGCTTGGGCGTTTGCCACAACGCGCGTTCTTCAACGCCGAGAAGGGGAAGCCACATTTCTGGTACCCCGGTTTGCAAACCAAAGATCCGGTGCCAGCATTGCAATCTGTGACGGGAGTGCAGCTGTATCAGCGGGGGGCGGGCAACCTCGAGCCTGTACCTCCAATTGAACTCTTATCATGCTAAACTTGATGGCGGTTTGAAAGACGGCGAGTTGCGTGGAGCTTTCACAAGGAAGAGGTCCGAAACGGATTCGAGAGTCGGTTCTAAACAATAGAAGTCCGTTCGAAGCAATGGAAAAGGGCGCGTCTGATGCGGGAGTTTTTTGAAAACAAACTCCGAAGGTTCGAACCCGGTTCCAAACAATCGAAAATGGGCGTCTCGTGCTGGACTTCCTCTAGACACAAGCTCGAACCAAAATCGAACTCGGTTTGAAATAAACATGATCGACCCACGAACCTGGAAAGTAATATAGAAATGTAAGGCATGGCAACGTTTCAAAGACACCTGATTGGGCGACGGGCAAATGCAATGCTGAATGTATCGATCTTGATGTACTGTGCTGGCGGCTGTGCTGTGCTACGCCGTGCTGAACTGCGATGTGCCATGCCGCGATTGTGCTCCATGTAGCGTTGTGGATCGAGTCCTCTTTGTATCCGAGTCCTGACCGAACTGATCTGGATCTTAAGCTCGAGCTGCCTGAGCAGATGGTCGCTGCCCAAAAACTAATCGACAGAGGGGACATGCCAGGAGGACGCGCCGCGGAACGTCCCAAGGGACGCGCCAGGCGACGTGCCAGGGGACGTGCCCTGGGCACGCACCGCGGGACGTGCCAGGAGGACGCGCCGCGGAACGTCCCAAGGGACGCGCCAAGCGACGTGCCAGAGGACGTGCCATGGGGACGCACCGCGGGACGTGCCAGGAGGACGCGCTACGGAACGTGCCAATGGACGTGCCGCGGGACGTGCCAGGGGACGCGCCGCGCGACGTGCCAGGGGGGCTCGCCACGGAACGCGCCAAGGAACTTGCCACGGTGCAATGCTGAATGTATCGATCTTGATGTACCGTGCCGGCGGCTGTGCTGTGCTTGGCCGTGCTGAACTGCGATGTGCCATGCCGCGATTGTGCTCTATATAGCGTTGTGGATCGAGTCCTCTTTGCATCCGAGTCCTGACCGAACTGATCTGGATCTTAAGCTCGAGCTGCCTGAGCAGATGGTAGCTGCCCCAAAACTAATCGACAGGGGGACATGCCAGGAGGACGCGCCGCGGAACGTCCCAAGGGAAGCGCCAGGCGACGTGCCAGGGGACGTGCCCTGGGCACGCACCGCGGGACGTTCCAAGGGGACGCGCTACGGAACGAGCCAATGGACGTGCCTCGCGCGACGTGCCAGGGGGACTCGCCACGGGACGCTCCGCGGAACGTGCCAGGCAACATGCCAGGCTGCAATGCTAAGGGTATCGGTATTGATGTAACGTGCCGAGGGCTGTGCTGTGCCTGGGCGACCTGGACACGTGCAAACAAGCGTCTCGATCGAGACTTCCTCGACGCCGCCTCATGCTAGACATCCGTCTGGGCGACCTGGACACGTGAAAACAAGCCTCTGCTTCGAGACATCCTCAACAAATCCTCATGCTAGGCATCTGTCTGGGCAACCTGGAGGCGTGAAACTAAGCGTCTCGCTCGAGACATCCTCAAGACCTGGGCACGTGAAAACAAGCATTTCACTTGAGAGATCCTCGGAATTCAGGTCCCCAGGAGAGGACAATCTATAACACAAAACAAACGTTTCGCTCGAGACATCCTCAACAAATTCTGAAAAGCAAGCGTTTCGCTCGAGACATCCTCAAACATAATTTCGCCGGCCCTACGCGACCTCGTTATTCATCGCAAAATAATTTCGCCGGCCCAACGGGCCAGAGGCGTGCTAAGATCTCCGGTAACTGGTTAACAATTTTCTAGTTCGCGCGCGCGGGGCGGCCCCTGGGGGTCCCCGGACGAAAAGTACCCCGACCAGGTCCCGGCCGGTCCCCGGCCGGTCCCGGCCGGGTCCCGGCCGGGTCCCGGCCGGGTCCCGGCCGGGTCCCCCCGAGCGCTCCATGAGCGCACCAACAGGGCTCCGAGACGTCCCCGAGAGCCCCAAGAAAGGCCAAGAGGCCCCCAAGAGGCCCCCAAGATGGTACACGAGGGGTCCGACATGCCACAAGATCGCTCCAAGACGCCCAAGATAGCCCCCAGACGCCCCAAGAGGCCTCCAAGAGCACTCCCAATAGGGCCCCCGGAGGCAAAAATCATTGTTTTTCCATAGGTTTTTGAGAGATTTTGGAGCTTCCACCTTTTCGGCTTCCCGACGCCCCAAGACGGCCCAAGAGGCCCCCAAGATCGCCCCAAGAGGGCCCAAGAGGCACCCAAGAGGGCCCCAAGATGGCCCAAGAGGGCTCGAAGACGGCCCAAGAAGCCTCCAAAACGGTCCAAGAGGGCCCCAAGAACGCCCCCAAAGGGGCCCCAGAGAGGGAACACGAAACAACATTTCGAGCCCTCGGCCCTAAGAAGCCCCTACGAGGCCCCTAAGAGGCCCCAAGAGGCCCCCACGGGGCCCTCAGGAGGCCCCCAAGAGTCCCCCAAGCGGCCCCAGGAGGCCCCCCAAATGCCCCCCCGAGCGCCCCAGGAGTCCCCCAAGCGGCCCCAGGAACCCCCAAAGCGCCGCATTGACACCAGGCCCTCGGGCAAACGGCAGACATGAGACTGTATGGGCCGGCGGAATGAGCGAAGCGATTAATAATTTCGCCGGCCCTACAGCCGTCAGAACCAGGGGTACACACACTAAAAGAGAACCCTGGGCCCGAGCCCTTTCCGGGAAAAAGTGAGCGCTTCGTGCGGGACTTCCTCGGAAAGCAGATTCGAACCAGGTTCGGACATGGTTCGAAACAGTAGCAACGTAATCGTTTCGTCTGGGATGGACTTTGTTCCTCTGCATATTTCGACATTCCACTGCATTGTTCCCATGAGCACTGCAGTGTCAAAATTGGGCGAAACGTTAATCACGCCTGCGTGCCGACTACCAAAGCTGTCTGGCTATTTACAACACGGCTTGCAATAACCAAAATCCACCGATCCTGTCGGCTTGTGTCAGACGTTTTTCCGTTTGGGTCGTCGTCGTCGTCATCGCCGTCGCCGCTCCTCCCCTTTCCCTGGGCCCTCCTCCTCAAACGGTCCAGCCAAAGGAAAATCAAACAACGTCGTACACGATTCCGTTTGATCTGGGGAGAGGGGGTGGCGGGTGGGTCCTGGGGGAGGTCCTGGAGGGGGTAGCGGGGGGGGTCCTCGGGGATGTCCCGCCCAGGGGTCGTGACCCCCCCTCCCCCGGGGGCCACGCTGTGGGGGGTGGTCTGCCTGTGGACAGGTGGAGCTCAGAACCCCTCCCCGCCCCCATGACTCTGTGGACACAGGGGACCATCACATCTCCCTTTCCTCCTGGAGCATCCCCCCTGGAGGTACCCTCCTCATATCTGCTGTTGAGGGGTGCTGTGTACTTTCCAACATGCCTCCAAGAGGCTTCAGATCCGCTCCGAGGTGGCTCCAAGTGACCACTGAGCTCCCCAAGAAGTCCGCCGAGAGGTCCCCCAATAGAGTCCAAGATGCTCCCAAGAGAGCCCCAAGAAGGTCTTCAGAGCGTGAGCGTCGTCGTCGTCGTCGCCGCCGCCATCGTCGTCGTCCCCCTTCAGGGTCGGCGGCACCGGCAGTAAGATCTTCCAAATAAGGATCCCTTGCTGCACGCACTGATGGGATCACCTGTAAATTTTGAAGAAAAGGAGTCGATGTGCAAATCTCCAACAAGAGATATATAATTGCGAACCCGCCACAAACAAAACACGACTTGTAACATCACCACTAGATGCTTGGTGCAGATCCCAAGCAGAAATATAATAGTATGGATATAAGGAAGAAGAGATGAGAGAAGAGAGAGAGAGAGGAAAAATAAGAGGGAAAGAAACTGAGGCGACAAACGGCACAGCATAACGAATGGTAAAAACAACGCGGGTACTACAGCACTGCAGAAATACTTTGGTAATTGCAATCATACAAACGAAGGGTCCTAGAGTCCTACGGTGCCCTATGGCCCTCCCCTGCCTCCCCTCACTCGCTGCAACCACGTGATCCACAATCGCACGATTGGCAGATGTCCGCCCGATCCCCTCGCCCAGGCTCCAGGTCTTGTAGCGCCTGCAGGCGGCGACGACGTCCAGAGGGTGACGCACCAGCCAGACCATACGCGCCAGCTGCCGAATCTCTGGCACCTTCTGGGAGCGAAGGGGAGAAGCTCGAGTCAACATGCCAATCCCTTTTAAAATGCGGGCCACGTGGTCTCGGCATCCATTCTAATGTTGCCCTTGGGCTGAATCTTGTCGTACAAACAGCACGTCGAGGAAGAAATGGCGAAAGGGTCAAGCGTCGCAGCCTCCCAGTTCACCTCCGATCATGTGCACAGAAGTTGTGCGTGTCGACATGTCGATTGCGGGCGAATGCCATATGCTAAACAAGCGGCGCCTTCGCAGAGGGGGAAATATCTTTTGAGCATCAGGGGCTCTGCCCAGTCCTGCGCTAAATCGCGCAAAATCCACAACCAGAGCCCCGGAAAGAACCCAGGCATCCGACGATGCGTTATTTCTCCACTCCGCGGCCTCAAGACTCCCGAACCCTTCAAGGAGGGGCAGTTTCTCCTCCGGGACCCTCTTGCCCTTCCCAGCCCTCCTCTGTTGGGGGCCCCGTGAAGGATGAACCATTGCTGCCCCTCCCCAGCTCCACAATTGCTCAGGATGAGCACTGCTCTCCCCTCCCCGGACCCTGTCCGAGCGAGGCCCCACTCCCCCCACGCGCTGCCCGAGGGGGCCCGGCGCCAGGCCGCTTTGGGCGCCCCTGAAGGGAGCCGAGCCCGACTCGGGTGCTGCCCAGAGCATAGCGATCGCCTTCAACTCCCCCTGAGACGAGGATGACGTCATGATGCGATTGCCCTAAAGTGCGTCCTCAGGATTCTGGAGTATACAGCGGGCCTCATTTTTCTGAGGCCCGGGCGAAACAGTAGGGAATCCGGACAGTCTTGGGCTCCTGGGCCACCGAACTTCGCGCATCGCGCCCCGCGACGCGCGGCGCGCGGTGATCTGCGCTCCATCGTGCCCTCGCGCCACGTGCCCTCGCGCCACCCCCCCGGGAGAGAACGGCGGCCACCTTGGCCCAGGCCGTGGCGTGCGAAACGCGGTTGTTTTCGAGCCCCTGCCGGTGGCCCAGGCCCTCCAGAGCCGAGGCGAGGAGTCGAAGCGACTCGAGCCCCGGGGGGCATCTGAGCCAAAGCTTCCTCTCGAGAAGCCTGGGCCACTCCTGACACCAGCGCCAATTCATGATGTCGGCTTGCAACCAGAGTACCCATCAAAGACCTCCGCTGTGCCGCCGCGCCGGCATGACCATTGCTCCGGCGGACAGAGGGGAGGCGCGAGGAAGGACCAGGGCGTGCAACTCGGGATTCGGTCGGCTGGCCTTCGGCAGCCTGGAGCGCAGGTCGGCTGGCCTTCAGCACTGGAGCGCAGGTGCGGCAGGTCCGTGGGGGGACGACCGCGGCGTTGGTTTCTGACACCGCGTGGATCGTTCAACCTTCAACGAGTGCCGGCGTGTCGATCGCCACGCTGCGCTACGCTACTCCCGATCGACCCACGAACCCAGAAAGGAATATAGAAATGCAACGCATGGCAGCGTTTTCAAAGACACCTGATTGGGTGACGGGCAAGAGCAATGCTGATTGTATCGATCTTGACGTACCGTGCCGAGGGCTGTGCTGTGCTGCACCGTGCTGACTTGCGATGTGCCATGCCGCGGTTGTGCTCTATAGCGTCGTGGATCGAGTCTTCCTTTGCATCCGAGTCCTGACCGAACTGATCTGGATCTTAAGCTCGAGCTGCCTGAACACATAGAAGCTGCCCCAGAGCTAATTGACAGGGGGACATGCCAGGAGGACGCGCCGCGAAACGTCCCAAGGGACGCGCCAGGCGACGTGCCAAAGGACGTGCCATGGGGTCGCACCTAGGATGTGCCAAGGGGACTCGCTACGGAATGTGCCAATGGATGTGCCACGGAATGTGCCAGGGGACGCGCCACGCGACGTGCCAGGGGGACTCGCCAAGGGACGCCCCACGGAACGTGCCAAGGAACGTGCCAGGTTGCAATGCTGATTGTATCGATCTTGATGTACCGTGCCGAGGGCTGTGCTGTGCTGCACCGTGCTGAATTGCGATGTGCCATGCCGCGATTGTGCTCTATAGCGTCGTGGATCGAGTCCTCCTTTGCATCCGAGTCCTGACCGAACTGATCTGGATCTTAAGCTCGAGCTGCCTGAACACATAGTATCTGCCGCAGAGCTAATTGACAGGGGGACATGCCAGGAGGACGCGCCGCGGAACGTCTCAAGGGACGCGCCAGGCGACATGCCAGGGGACGTGCCATGGGGACGCACCGCGGGACGTGCCAAGGGGACGCGCTACGGAACGTGCTGGGGACAAGCGTTTCGCTCGAGACATCCTGTCAAAATCCTCATTCTAGACATCCGCCTGAGCGACCTGGACACTTGAAAACAAACGTTTCGCTCAACACATCCTCAACACATTCTCATGCTAGACATCCGCCTGGGCGAACTGGACACGTGAAAATTACGCTACCGAGGAACCCCACATACTGATGTTTAATATTGTGTTTGCTTGTCATTATCATCTATGCGCAATCCTGCGTTCTAAACCCTCGTCGCGAATCGTCGTCGTACGTGTCGTACTCGTCGTCGTACTCGTCGTACTCGTCGTCGTACTCGTTGCCGTTCTATCGTCTTACTCGTCATCGTACTCGTCGTCGTACCTCGCCATCGTACTCGTCTTCGCATTCGTCGTCGTGCTCGTCGCACTCGTCGTCGCACTCGTCGTCGTCGTACTCATTGTACTCGTAGTGCTCGTCGTACTCGTCGCCGCACTCGTGGTCATCGTCGTCGTCGTCGTTGTCGTCCTCCTCCTCCTCCTCCTCCTCCTCCTCCTCCTCCTCCTCCTCCTCCTCCTGCGTGAAAGCGCAAGCGCGCCGAGCCGGCTTGAACCAGAGTGTCTACAGTTCTGCGTGGGACGCGAACTCTCGCCAGCGCAGACCCTCTGTGGTGTCGAGACATTGCCACGCCTGCCACGCTTTGCAATCCCGAAACGGATAGCGACCGCACCCCCAGCGCGCCCCCCTTGTGGTGTCGAGGATGTGCCACGCCTGCCACGCTTTGCGAGCTCGAAACAGATAGCTCCCACCCCCAGCGGGCCCCCCGTGTAGTGTCGAGGATGTGCCACGCCTGCCACGCTTTGCGAACCCGAAACGGATAGCCACCCCACCCCGAGCGCGCCCCCTGTGGTATCGAGGAGGTGCCACGCCGGCCACGCTTTGCGAGCCCGAAACGGATGGCGACCACCCCCAGCGCGCCATCTGTGATGTCGAGGATGTGCCACGCCTGCCACGCTTTGCGAGCCCGAAACGGATAGCGACCCCACCCCCAGCGCGCCCCCCTGGTGTCGAGGATGTGCCACGCCCGCCACGCTGTGCGAGCCCGAAGCGGATAGCCACCCCACCCCCAGCGCGCCCCCTTGTGGTGTCGAGGATGTGCCACGCCTGCCACGCTTTGCGAACCCGAAACGGATAGCCACCCCACCCCGAGCGCGCCCCCTGTGGTATCGAGGAGGTGCCACGCCGGCCACGCTTTGCGAGCCCGAAACGGATAGCGACCCCACCCCCGCGCGCCCCTGTGGTGTCGAGATTGCCACTCCTGCCACGCTTTGCAAGCCCGAAACGGATAGCGACCCCACCCCCAGCGCGCCCCCCTTGTGGTGCCGAGGATGTGCCACGCCTGCCACGCTTTGCGAGCCCGAAGCGGATAGCGACCACCCCCAGCGCGCCTTCTGCGGTGTCGAGGATGTGCCACGCCTGCCACGCTTTGCGAGCCCGAAACGGATAGCGACCCCACCCCCAGCGCGCCCCCCTGTGTCGTCGAGGATGTGCCACGCCTGCCACGCTTTGCGAGCCCGAAACGGATAGCGACCCTACCCCCAGCGCGCCCCCTGTGGTGTCGAGGATGTGCCACGCCTGCCACGCTTTGCGAGCCCGAAACGGATAGCGACCCCACCCCGAGCGCGCCCCCTGTGGTGTCGAGGATGTGCCACGCCTGCCACGCTTTGCGAGCCCGAAACGGATAGCGACCCCACCCCGAGCGCGCCCCCTGTGGTGTCGAGGATGTGCCACGCCTGCCACGCTTTGCGAGCCCGAAACGGATAGCGACCCCACCCCCAGCGCGCCCCCTGTGGTATCGAGGATGTGCCACGCCTGCCGCGCTTTGCGAGCCCGAAACGGATAGCGACCCCACCCCGAGCGCGCCCCCTGTGGTGTCGAGGATGTGCCACGCTGCCACGTTGGGAGCCCGAAGCGGATAGCGCCCCACCCAGAGCGCGCCCCCCGTGGTGCCAATGATGTCCACGCCTGCAACGCCTTGGGAGCCTGAACGGAATAGCGACCCCACCCCCACGCGCCCCTTTTGCGTGTCGAGGATGTGCCACGCCTGCCCCGCTTTTGCGACCCCCGAAATCGGATCGCGACCCCACCCCCCCGAGCGCGCCCACCTGTGGTGTCGAGGATGTGCCACGCCTGCCACGCTTTGCGAGCCCGAAGCGGATAGCGACCCCACCCCCAGCGCGCCCCATGCGGATTCAAGGATGTGCCACGCCTGCCACGCTTTGCGAACCCGAAACGGATAGCGACCCCACCCCGAGCGCGCCCACCTGTGGCGTCGAGGATGTGCCACGCATGCCACTCTTTGCGAGCCCGAAGCGGACAGCGGCCCCACCTCCAGCGCGCCCCCTGCGGTATCGAGGATGTGCCACGCCTGCCACGCTTTGCGAGCCCGAAACGGATAGCGACCCCACCCCCAGCGCGCCCCCTGTTGTGTCCGAGGCTTGCCAGCCACGCACTGCCACGTTTTTGCGAAGCCCGAAACGGACGGCGGCCCACCCCCAATCGCGCCCACCTGTGGTTTCGAGGATGTGCCAACGCCTGCCAACGCTTTGCGAGCCCTCGAAACGGATAGCGACACCCCGAGGCGCCCCCTGGGGTGTCGAGATTGTGGCCACGCTGCACGCTTTGCGACCCCGAAACGATAGCGACCCCACCCCCCGCTCGCGCCCACCTGTGGTGTCGGAGTGATTGCTGCCACCACGCCTACAACGCTTTTGCGAGCCCGAAAAAC